GCGGCTGGAGCCCGTCTTGGCTTCGGAGGGCCGCACTCCCACAATGCACCTTGTGTCAACACGGCGCTGGTGGTCGCTTCGAGGAGGGGCCCAAGGTGCCCAGGGGACCCGCACGCAGCCCGAGGGGTATCAAGTGGGGTCCGGCTGTTAAGGGGCGACTGGCAGCCATGGCGGAGTCGGCGCCTACTCGGGTAAGAGTCCTCCTGGCACGACTCGGGGGCGCGTTCGGGATGGCGGAGCCCCTGGCCGGGGCGGGGCTCTGTGTCCCCCGGGTTGCCGCCCGCGCGGGTGAAGACCGCCCTCCCCCCGCGACCCCGGGGCTCTGCCCTCCCCCTGGCCGGTTTCTTCCGCGTCGGACCAGAGCCCCCGCGTCACGCGCCTTGGCTGGGAAACTTCTCAGGCTTGTTGCATGTTCTTAGATTTCTGACTGTCCCCACACGTTTTCTCCGTCGTGCCAATAGAGAGCCCGTTTCCAGGCTGAGGAGGTGGCGCGGATTGGAAACTCTGGGTCCCCATCACTGGCAGTGAGCTCGTCCGGTGCTCCGAGGAACCCTGGACTCATTGTCTCTCCGCGACCAGCTCGTTCTCGGCCTGATGTGTTTCGCTTGTTCCTCTGCCCCATTCTCCCACTACGGACTCTGTCCTGGGGTTGCAGCCACAGGTTAAAGTCAGGCTGGGCTTCCTCTCCTTGGGGACAGGCGTTACCTCACGGATGTAGTTGCAGGGGTTTTTGTTGTTGTTTTTGTGATAAGCTGTCCGATCTCTTTCCCCCGCCCCTCCCCCAACCACCCCCATTCTGGGATGTCAGAACACAGAGCTTGGAGTGAGCAAAATCCTGGGCACGGAGTCGGGAAACGACTTCAGCTGTAACTCAGCTCTCAGCCGTCCAGTTCTGGGCCTCTGTTTCCTTAGCTGTAAATTGTTGGACTAGTTGCTAGATGATCTGGGAGGCTTCTGCCAGCTCTGACATTCTCATTTTATTCCAGAGTAGTGGTTAATTTGATAATAGAAGAAGATGTGCTATGGAAAAGGCAGATGGAATTTAACTGTTTTTTAATGCAGCATTTTTTGGTCTAGAAACACTTTCAGAATCATATGAGATCTTGTGAGAATTGAGAGCCAAGGAGATCCTGTGGTGAAAACTTTACCATGAGCAAGATGCACTGTATTTGATTCTTGTAGGAAGTGGGTAAGAACTAAGAGGGGGAAGGGTTGGAAGACTTAGAGAACACAGTGTTTGCTGTCAAGGGAGTTACAATTGAATTGCAAAGACAAGACACAAATATTTACAGTATTTACCTCATCTGACCTCGCTAAATTAAGGCGATCCACTCAAAGACTTGGTTTTTCCTCAAGACCAAATTAATAGTAAAGTGGGGCAGGCGGACAAGTTCCCGGCTTCCAGAATACTTCTTCCTGACTTGTCAGTGCAGTTTCCTACCTACCTGTCATCAACAGATCTTGTTAAAAGAAAGCCTTAAAGAACTGCTAAAATCTCAGACTACACTTTAAGTAACTTATGGATCTGTCGTTATAGAATGTATTTAAGTTGTTCTTGAGCATATTTCCACTCTCAGACATAATCTCTTCAGATGAGGATTCTGTACCTCTCATTCGATAGTATGGCTAGGTAGGCACCCTGATGAAAATGACCGAAAATACTGGGGGAAAAAACACAAATATTTTTGATGTGTATGTTAGTAAAGACTGCTTGAAGCCCAAAAACTGAATGAAAGAAGGAGCTCTTAAGAGGTAAGCAGGGTTCCGAAGCCAACTTTGAGGGCTTTTGCTGAACATTCATCTGTGGTGTTTATGACCTTAAGGGGCCGAGAAGATAGAAAATGAAACTCAGAGCCTAAGGTGGGGAATCTAAGAAGCTCCAACCTCAACCCCATAAAGCTGAGACTTCAAAGCACAACATTCAGGGTGATATGAAAGTAGGTTCTTACACCCAGGTGATTGTAGAGAAAATTACATGTGTCAGACCTTGGTGCTGAGAGATGAATGCAAGGTGCCCCTTGAGAATTCATGGTGACCCTCAAGTGGCCTTATTGCCTGAATTCATATGACCTGGATGGTCCAAGAATACTCAAGCCCAGAATTAGTTCTTTATAAAAAATAAACACAAGTCTCTCTGGAGGAGTCTCCATTTAACTCAGACTTCAAATTTCATAGATAAAATTATAAGAAAAATTAATTCAGAATTTGAAAATTACCAAACAAGCAATGAAAAACTATGAGGAAAAGCCAGTAAAAAATAATGGATAATGAAATTAGACCTTCAGAGATTTCAGATACTGAAATTGCAGACGAAAAACATTGGTATTCCAGAAGGAAAACACACTCAAACACTCTAGGCACAAACACTCTAAACACAAATGTGGCACTGTAGGCCGTATTTGATAAATAGCTAATGGCTGAGAACATTGTAGAACTGATGCAGATATTAATATGTAGAAACTCAGTAGATCCCATCAGGATAAACAAAAAGAAATCTCCCTAGACACGATAGTGAAAGTGCCGAATACAAGGCAGAGAGAATTCTTAAAAGCAGCCAGACAGATTACCTTCAAATGAACTACTGTAAGACTAGGGCCCAGCTTCACAACAGCAACAGTGGAAGCTACACAGCGCTAGAATAATATCATCAATGGACTGAAAGAAAATAACTATGATCCCACATTTTTATAGTCAGCAAAAGTATCTCTCAAAAACATGGGTAAAATAAAGATATTTTCAGACAAATTAACACTGACAGTTTGCTACCAATGTGCTGTCATTAAAGGAAGTTCCAAAGGATATATTTCAGGTAAAAGGAAAATTATCCCAAATGCAGAGAAGGCAAAAAAAAAAAACCCAACTAAATGGAAAGTCTGACATGAAAGTGTCATCCATGAAAATGGATAAATCTAAACAAATATTGACCGAATAAAGCAATAATAATCTCTTGGGTTAAAAACAAAAGCAGAATGAAAATATACGGCAGCGCTGATGTAAAAGTTAGGAAAAGATGATCAGAATTCAGATGTTTAAAGGTCTTTGTAATTGTGCTTCCTGTGATTTCTAGGATAGTTGCTGAAAGACTAGAAATTGGCTGTGTAACTTACAAATTAAAAGGGTAATTATAGAATAAGAAAAAATCATCTAAAGGCAAGAGAAGATAAAGATGAGATATGTAGCAGAAAAGATAAAAATAGGTAAACATACATCAACAATTACAATAAATGTAAGTAGACTAAATGTTATAATTAAAAGGCAGAGATTGCAAGATGGGATGAATCCAACTATATGGTTTATAAGAAATACAACTAAAAGATAAAGCTGTAGAAATGGTTGACTATAAAAGGATATGAAAATATATGCTAGGTTAATACTGATTAAAAGAAAATTGGCTTAACTATATTAATATTGCTAGAGATAGACAGCTGCTACTACTTTTATAATGGTAAAAGACTCAATTTACCAGCTTGATATGACGTTTCTAATCTTAAATGCACCTAATTATAGAGCCTCAAAATATATAAAATAAAAATTGATAGAACCACAAGGAAATTCACTCTCATAATAGAAGATTTTAACATAGCGTTAGTGTTTTATCAAGCAGAGAAAATTAGTAAGGGTGTAGTACATCCAATAGATCTTTCTGAGATGATGGAAATATTATCTCAAATATGCACTACTCAGTATAGGGGCCACAGTTATACGTGGCTATTGAGCACTTGAAATGTAGTTAGTATGACTGAGGAACTGAATTTTTAAATTTAATTTTAATTTAAATAGCCACGTTTCTAGTCGCTGTAATATTGGACAACACATATATAGGATATGATTTTTTCCCCATACATCTTATCCCATATATATAATTTTTATGTATAGAGAGATTAATGAAGAAAAAAGAAGGCCAAAAAAACCATTAGAAACGAGTGTGTTCTGGCGGTCGATGCTGGCTGTGGACGGGGACCTTACATAGGGCTATTGGACAGAGCATCTCTGTTTGCCTTTCCTGTGTGGCTTGGAGCCTCGGGAGATTCCAGTGTCTGTCTGCCCATGGTTCACTCCATTTGATGTGGACTGGCCAGAGGCAAACTGTCCCGTCCCTGCTAGACTTTCATTTAATTGCAGGTTCACAAGCAACATAGATGGTATTGTCTTAATCTGCCAAATTTGGGGATCATTTATTATACAGCAACTGATGATTGGAACAGATACCTTGGGAATATGGTTAAATATTGGAAGATATTAAAGATGCCTTTAAAAAGGAGGGTGAACTATGTGTATGGATTGAAACAGCTTATCCTAAAGATATTGCTTCTCAAATTTATCTGTGGATTTGATGCAGTTCCAGAGAAAATCTTTAAAGATATTTTTGTGAAAACTTTCAAGTTTGTAGAGAATATAAACAGTCCCCAAACAGTCAGTATATTCCTGTGAAACAAGGAAGTGGGACTTGTCTCACCAGTTATCAGTAATCATCAAAAAGCTGTGGTCATCAAGACTGTAATATTGGTAAAGCGATGGAAAAACTGACCCATAGAACAGAATAGAGATGCCAGAAACAGACTGATAGGTAAGAAAACTTGATTTATGATAGAGATAGCATTGCAAGTCAGTGGGCAAATGATGGATTTTTCATTATATAGTATTAGATCTTTTGATTTCCTGTATGAAAATTGAGCCTTGCACCGTACACAGATCAGTTCTGGGTCGAGGTAAATATGTAAATGTGAAAGCCAAAACTGTAAAGTATTTAGAAGACAATATTGTGGGATATAAATTTTTTTTTACACCAGACATGAAAATTCAAACCATAAAAGCATTAATACTGATAAAACACAACGACATTAAAGTTAAGGACTTTTTGTCAAATGATAATAAAGAGTAAAAAAGTGAGGTACAAAGAAGGAGAAGATTCTTGTAGCACAGCCGATAAAGATTAGTATCCAGAATTTACAGAGAAATCTTTTGAGACAGTGAGGAAAAGTCAGATAATCTAAAAGATAAATGGATGAGACTTCAGCAGGTTGTTCACTGGAGGGGAACTTCGAATGACCAGTAGCCATGTTCCTTCTCAGTGTCTTGGTCTCTGTATCCTCACTGTGGTGAGAGAAGCAGCCCTGATTGAAGTGCACCATTTAAAAGGATATGAAGCCTTGGGTGTTAGGACTGAATTGTGAACACGCAGTGGGACAGTGGGGGCAAGGGGACAGCTTCGGGAACACATCCCAAGCATTGGTTTTAGTCCTTTTGAGCTTTAGCCACTGTCAGGGACAGACCATAAAAATGAAAAGTATAAGAGAAACGTCAGAGGACTTAGATCATTTCGGTGAATGTTTATTAAGAATTTAGTAGGTGTTATTCACTTATACTGGCTACAATGCAAAGACGAATGAGTTGAGTCTTGTAGGGCCTGCTGAGGAATTTGGTCTTTATTGTAAGGAGCTGCTGAAAGGTTTTTGGCAAGAGTGACAAGATCAACTATGAGGTCTGGCAGGAATGTGGAGTCAAGAGTGGATATAAATTATATCGTTTATCATAGCAAAATGTTACAAATAGCCCAGCATATCAAATAGAAAGAAATTGTTTTAAAAAATGAACACTGACACAGGAAGGTCTTAGAGAATATGCTGTGTGTGAAATGCAAGTAACCAAGCATATGTACAATATGATTTCAATTTTGTTGAAAAAGAAGTTAAAAGATGAGAAAAACTTATAGGAAATTCACCAAGATTCTTACTGCTTATTTCTAGATGGTGGTACTTTACATAACCCTTCCTTCCTCCTTTCTTTTTTTCAGTATTTTTTTATTACAACATATGTGTATAATTTGCAGCATCAGAATACAAAAGAACATACTTTTTAAATTAAAAAAAAGTAGAGACCAAGGATCAGCTCTCAGTACTCTCGGCCCCACCAGATCTATTGTTTTCTTTACTCGATGTCTGGACATGACACTGACCAACTGACCCTGTGTCTGGTTCTTCAGCACAGGAGGAAGCGCCGCTCCACACCTCTGGCTGCTTCCACACTGCCCCCCCAAGCGACAGAGAAAAGCTCCTATTTGCAGACTACAGAGATCTCACTCTGGACCGTGGTGGCCGCCATTCAGGCCGTGGAGAAGAAGATGGAGTCCCAGGCCGCTCGGCTGCAGAGCCTGGAGGGGCGGACGGGGACGGCCGAGAAGAAGCTGGCCGACTGCGAGAAGACGACCCTGGAGTTCGGGAACCAGCTGGAGGGCAAGTGGGCCGTGCTGGGGACGCTGCTGCAGGAGTACGGGCTGCTGCAGAGGCGGCTGGAGAACATGGAGAACCTGCTGAGGAACAGGAACTTCTGGGTCCTGCGGCTGCCCCCGGGCAGCACGGCGGAGGCCCCCAAGGTAGGCCTTTTACTTCAGTTTCTAACGTGCCGGCTTATCCTTCAGGGCTGCTGGAGGACTCACTGTGTGACATTTGTGATTTCAGGCGTCCCGGTCACTTGAAAATGATGGAGTCTGTTTTTCAGAGCAGGAGTGGGAGAATCTGGAGGACTGGCAGAAGGAGCTCTACAGGAACGTGATGAAGAGCAACTACGAGACTCTGGTCTCTCTGAGTGAGTGCCGGCCGCCTCCCTGGAGCTCTCGTGGACACCTGCCGTTCAGGACCACGCCTGGGTCTGCTTGGCTTTGGGCCCTCAGTCGGCCTGTGGCAGGTGGAGAAGTGGGGGTCTCCAGGTCCCAGCTGCAGAGGCTTTTGGAAAGGTCACAGTGTCGTGCCTTTCTTCTCTGTGGTCATGTATTTATTGACCGATGCCGCCCATGCATTAGACTGTAACTTGGCTAGAGGGCCTCGCGCTGTTTCTGATGCTTACAGCCACCATTGGATGAGAAATCTCTTGTTCCCTGGGCTGAGACCGGCAGCACAGGCTAGCCAAGGATTTTCCTGGGCATCTGGCTGGAATTACAGCCAGTGGTGGTGTCAACACTCTTTATGTTTTGTGGTTAGAAATGCTGCTTAGTAGATACACATTTTTTATGCAAAATATTAGCTATTACATTATAAATATATTTTGTTTGGTAAGGAAAATCTTTTATGACCTAGGACCGTGTAGGATTGTCAACAAGGCCAGTGCCACTGGAGCAGAGTGGAGGGGGAGGAAAGTAGCAAATGGGTCACGGAGGTGACTGCATGACTTTGGCTGCGTCACGTGTTCTGCTAGTGGCTCTTTCCTTGTCTGTCACGGTGGGGATGGTGATGCCCGCGTTAGCTCGCAGTGCTTTAGCACAGATGAACTTAGAAAGAAAGTAATACTTGAAACCACGTACGTGCGAGGAAGTGGTGGTGCCGGGGGACACGTGGTGCGCCCCGCGCTGGACGGCCCGAGCCACAGTGATTCAGGGCACCGAAGGCAGCGGTCAGCCGAGTGGATCGTTCGAAATAGCCGTAATTCTCTCATCCTCCCAAACTGCTGGCGGAAAGTAACAAGAATAGTACTTTGAATATTTTGAAGTTTAATATCAACTCCTTGACACTGGCCACCTCGTCCATCAACAAATGACTAGTGCACGGTGAGGTTTTACTCTCCCCTGGGCTCACACTGTGCCATTTCCAACCTAGAGGTCCTTGGCCAGCCAGAAGGAGAGGCAGAGCTGGGTACGGAGATGCTGGGCGACTTGGAGGAGGAAGGCCCCGGTGGTGTCCACCCAGGTGAGTGGCTTCAGAATATTCCAACCCCTCTCCACTCCCTGCAGCCTAGAGCGAGCTTTTCCACTGCCAAACAGCGATTATCACTGACCTCATGTGGCACTTACTTATTCTAGACGCCTTTGTGATTATCAGTAGTTCACCTGTTACCTGTGTGTCTTCACTCATTTCCGCTGTGTGGAGTCCTTGTGATTCATGGCACGTCAGACTTCTTCATGCCCTACAGGCTAGAGGACACAGTAGGCTTTAGTCAAAACCCACTGGGGATTGAGAACGGGGTCGGTCACAGCTTCAGGAGTGAAGCTGACTGGGTGAGAGGCAGAAAAAGCATTTGTAAGCGAGCTAATTTGAAAAGAATACGCATGAAGGAGAGAGCTGGATACATAAGCTGTAAGTTTTGTTTTTTTAATCTTTGACTTTTGTTAACACTCTACTAACTAAATTAGTATAGTTACTGTACATCTAACCATTTTTTTTACAGAGATTGAATACAAATTTGTGGACAAGCTTGGAAAACTGTCATATATAAAATTGTTCTATAAGATAATATATTCAGCTTTCCAGCCAACATGTCTGACTATAGGTTTAGTTGTTCAGGTCTTCAAACCCAGTCAGTCTCATCCTACAGCTTGCCCTAAGTCCCTCGATTCCTAGGATACTTTGATTTGAGCCCTTCTGAAATTCAGAGATGTTTGTTTAGCTCTGAAGAAAGCAGAGGTGTTAGAATGTGATCTTTGTCGGTGTGTTTGTTTTGGCAGCAGAAGGGGTTATGATCAAGCAGGAGACGCAGCACCCGCAGCAAGGCCCTGTGGGTCTCCCTGGAGCGTTCTCGAGCATGGCCGAAGAGCAGGCTTTCCTGAGCCCAGAGCAGGCTGAGCTCTGGGACAGTCAGGGCAGCTCTATCCTCTTGGAACCAGGTCCTGGGGACACTAACCTAGAGGAGCCCGTTGAAGGCAGTGGAGACCCTGGCAGCGGCAGAACTCTGGGCTGCCCCCCAAAGCAGAAACCTAACAGGCAGGTGCACCCAGCTCAGGAATGCGGGCAGGGCCTGAAGCTGAAAAGGGACACTTCTGACCCCTATGAGTGTGCTGAGTGCGAGATCAGCTTCCGCTATAAGCAGCAGCTGGCCACACACCTGCGGAGCCACTCGGCATGGGAGCCTGCCGCAGCCTCGGAGCCAGAGGAGAGCCTTCGGCCCAGGCCGCGGCTGAAGCCCCAGAACAAGAAGGCAAAGCTGCATCAGTGTGAGGTGTGCATGAGGAGCTTCAGCTGCAGGCTGAGCCTGGTCACCCACCAGCGTTGTCACTTGCAGGAGGGGCCCAGTGGTGGCCACCGTGTCCAGGAGAGGTTCTCACCCAACAGCCTGGTCGCCCTGCCCGGCCACATCCCCTGGAGGAAAAGCCGGAGTTCCCTCATCTGCGGTTACTGTGGCAAGAGCTTCAGCCACCCATCTGACCTGGTGCGACACCAGCGCATCCACACGGGCGAGCGGCCCTACAGCTGCACTGAGTGTGAGAAGAGCTTCGTCCAGAAGCAGCACCTCCTGCAGCACCAGAAGATCCACCAGCGGGAGCGGGGCGGGCTGGCCCTGGAGCCCGGAAGGCCCAATGGCCTGCTTTAAGGGTGCCAGCCCCTCGCCTGTCCGGGGGGGGAAGGGGGCTGGCAGTAGTCCCCCAAGGAGACACTGTGCAGAGTCAGGGACCGACTGCTTCCTGGGGGGAGTCACGGAGTCCCTTCCCTTGCCCAGGCAGCAGGTGGACCCCGGAGGCCATCCTTAGAACCGTGTGCGCCCAGGCAGCCGGCGGCTCTGGGCCAGGCCTCCCCTGCTGTCCGCCCTGCTGCTGCCTTCCCGTGGCCTCAGCACCTTCGGTTCTCTGTGTTTCCCAGCTGCACTGATGCCCGCAGTCCACGGTTGGCTCTCGGACCCCGCAGGGCCGGTGGCTAGTCCGAGGGCCTGACCTGGCGTTTCAGGGCTTCCCACGGGCTGGAGCTAGGCCAAAGGAGTGAGCAGGCGTGTGGAAGAGGCTCGGAAACATGACCCTCTGTTTCCGCCTCTTCTGTAGTCTCTGTTCATAACAAATAGAAGAAATAATTTAAATGAACTGCTCACCCTGAAGAACCTTTTTTGGAATTAGGTTTTAGTTGATTTTCTAAAAATACAATCTGACACTTGTTTTTTAAATTCCCAGAGCTGCAGAAGTCGTTCCTAACATGGGGCCCGGGCCTGCCCTCCAGGAGGGAGTCATTCCAGGGCTCTTCTGCCCACCCAGGCTTCGTTAGGCCAGTGGTCAGGGCATAGGGCGGCCCGCTCTTGTGAGAGTCCTTGATGGGGCTCAGATGGGGCTCCCTGAGTCAGAAGGACCCAGTGGAAGCGAGCAGTAGGGGCGGACCCCAAAGCCCGTGCTGAGAATGGAGAATCCGGTATAGGAGCTGAGCGTCCAGATCTGCTAACACGGGGTGTCCAGAGCCTGGGCTTCCCCACAGCTGGGCTCCGCCCTCCCAGCCGGTTCCATGGCCCCACAGGGTGGACACTGCCTTCGTTACTAAGCTCGCCCAGCTTGTCCTAGCGGTCCTTTGAGTTTGCTCCTCTCATACCAGTTGTTCTTGATGACACACCTTCTAATTTAGTTCTGGGGTTGGCTGTTCCAGAGACGATGGAGGAAAAGGCACAGAGGCGCTTGTCTCAGGAGTGTCAAATACCTGTCCCACTGTGGTTCAGGGAGATGGGAGTGGGCTCCTGGTCCCCTTTGATGACTTGCAGTTGCCTAGAATAAAATTTGCTACTAGCAAAAGAAAGCGCTCATGTTGGATGTTTTTCTCCATTTGTTAAGAATACTTTCCTGGGGCCAAGGTGGAGGAGGTGCCTCACCTGGAGCAATAATAGAGGCCCGACTTAAACCTTGGACGATGAGGAAGGGGCGTGTGTGGGACCCTATTTGTGGTGGTCAAGAGCTGCGGACCTTCTGGGCGCCGGTTGTGGGAAGGTGGGAGGCAGAGAAGGCAGGTGAAATATGGTGGGTGCTGGGACACTGCGCAGCAGTTAGGGACACTGGCCTAGATATTCGTGTACCACATGGGTTGGTCTTGTACAATGCTGAGTGGAAAGTAAGAAGTCGAGATCTGTAACGTTACCGTTTGCGTAAATTAAAATGCATATACACAAAACCAGAGAAACGAGAAGTTACACATTCAAGGTGTCACAGTTGCCCGTGGGAGGAGTGAGTGGGATATGGGGAGAAAAAGGTGCGGGATTATCTTGGCGTAGAAACAACGCGGAGGGAAGCTGTCATGGCAGGCTCGTGCGAGGCGCTCACCATGTGTAGGAAAGCTAGGTCGTCTCCTTAGATCCCAGCTGTTGCATTACAGATACCCCCGTGCCCCATCCTCGATTACTCTCCCCTCCCAGGTCTTCGCTGAGGGTTTTAACTGGACCAGCCTTTGCCTTGCATTGTTAAGTTCTCCCTGAGGCTGGGAAATAATTGTATTAAGCAGTTGGACTGGTGTAATTGTGGCTAATATTTACTGAGCACTCGTGTGCTAGTTATTGTTTTATGTTCTTCGCATAGAAACAGACGTAATCCTCACACGACCCTGTGGGGTGAGTATGATTATGACCCCATTTTACACATGCGATATGGGAAGAGATGTAAGAGGTGAAGTAGCAGGCAGAGGTGGACACGAACCAGGCCGTATTGCTTCAGAGCTCACACACTTGACCACGGGCTCTGTTGCTTCTGGGTGCCCACAGTTAAGTACCTGGTGCACGGGTTAAAGTCTAAGTCCTTGTTACCCAAAGTGTGGTCTCTGCCCCAGCAGCACTGACGTTCCCTGGGAGCTTGATAGCAATGCAGACCCAGACCCACTGACTCAGGGTCTGCATTTTAACAAGATCTCCAGGTCATTCTCTGCATACGGAGGCACTATCTTGAGTGGTACAAAAACTCAGCCTCTTGCCTGTTTCACCTGTTCATTGAAAGCTTGCTCTGCTAGGCGTTGAGAAGAAAACAGGAAGTGGAACCAGGAAGTGGAACCAAAGAACAGCGCCGATCACATTCGACAGATTTAAATCAACACCCAGGGAAGAATAAATGTCAAACATCGGTGACTAATCTGTCTTATCTTCTCTGTTCCTACAGGTAAGGTCCTAACTGTCACCCACCTGAACCCAATAACCTAACCTAACCACATCTTTACAGAAACACAAATTGGACAGGCTTGCCTCAAAGCCTTGCAGTGCATTTGACCGGCTACTGACAAACAACAAGCTTTTTAGTGTAGAACTCGAGAGATCCACAACCAGACCTGCTCCGAGTGTCTGCACCTTTCACTCCGTCTAAATGATCTAAGCTGCTGCCTCGCTGGGCGTCCTGTGACGAGGCGCTTACACCACGCTTCCCGACCTGCACAGGCAGCTCCTGCGTTCTGTCCCCGGACCGCCCTCAGTGAGCCACGTCCTGTTTATTTTTTTCGCTGTTTATAACCCCCTTCTGTGAAGGAGTCCCTCATCCATTTCTTTTATTAAATAAATCCATAGGGAGCACCTATTAGCCGGGCATTGTTTTAAGTACTCGGGATACATGAGCGGTGTAAAAAACAAAGCTCTCTGCCCTCGCTGAATTTATGTTCTATCAAAATTCATGCTCTTCCTGGACTGCACGTTTGCACAGCCCTTCCCTAGACCAGCACGGTTCTAGCACAGTCTCAGAGTTTGCTGGCTCACTAGTATGAGTGGCCTCTGTGCCAAGTCTACAGAGGGACACGAGGTGAAATCAGAGATCTCGCTCTTGGGCTTACAGACTGCGGGAATCTAATGAAAGGTAGAAAACTATTTGTGTTAAGAGGTTGAAGGTCTAAGAATTGAGAGAACAATTAACATTTAGTTGTGGGATGGTGGGGAAGGCTTTACGAGAGGTGACTTTTGAACTGCATCTTTAAGCTTGGGAAGAGGACAATCTAGATGGAGTGACAGGGCCAAAGTAGGAGTCGCTGGGGCATATACAAATAAACGCTAATCGATTCGATCTGGCTGGAGGGTGGGTGTGAGAAGGGGAGGCATGGACGTGCTATGAAATGGTTGGAGTCAGGCTAAAGGGTTTGGGTTTTACTGAGTTAGTGATGGGGAGCTGAGAGTTTTGAGCAAAAGGGTGACCTGGTTCTAGCTAGGATTTGACAGTATTAACCTAATAAGAGTTACTTTTTGGGGGTGAGGTGGGGGATATGTTAGGAGGTTTTTGAATGAGACCAAGATCCAATGAAGACCTGACTGGGCACAGCTGCAGTGGGAAGTGAGTGACAGACAAGGAGAGATGGACGAGACAGACCACAGGATGTGATGCTTTTTGAAGGCAGGGCCTTTGCACAGAGGTGATCACCACATTTAGAATGGACAGGAATTCACAGACTAGGGAGCTCAGTATTGTCTGAATTAGGGATGGCTTCACGGAGAAAAGGGGACTTGGTTATATTTCTGGTCTCCCTCTGCTAATACTTTCCCTCCTAAGCTTTATAAATCTGGGTGGGTCCACTTTCAAAACTGATACCTTCTCCAAGTGAGGTACACCCTAGAGTTTGGGGCAAGGTTAAGAAGTGTCACTTTAAGGTAACAGATCACATCAATACTTGGCATTGTTCACTGCGGAAACCCTTGTGGAATTAACCCAACCCAGCACAATTTGCAAATGAGTGCTGAAGGCATTAACAAGATACCTGGTGTGGATCTCTAGAAGAAAGATTCTTCTGATGTGAACCCTGAGAAGGAATATAAAGGCTGCAATGGACTCCCCATGGCCAACGGAGGGCCCACATTTTATAAAGAGTCTAGTGGCCATTTGCTGACAGGCCCCTGAATACTCTGTGTACTTGGAAGAACCCCACCCTGAATTCTCCCCAAACTATGCCCCCTAGTTTACGCTGTCTGGGGACACCCTGGTTTTGCTTTCCGCCAGCAGATTGAGACCTGCCCTGTCCAATCAGAACAGCACAATTTTGATACCTCACTTACATGGAATAGACCTAATTGAGACCCTGGGTGGAAATTTTCACTATTGGTGGAATACGATTTGGGGTGCTGCCTGAGTCTGTCTCCAGGGCTGCAGCTACTTTTTGCTCAAATAGATGCCTTTTATTCTTTATTACAGTCTAAAATTAATTTTGGTTTACACTAGGAGCTCATCGGGGGTCTGTCAGACCGTTATATTTAGGATTATAAAATACTGGTAAGTCGTGATCTTATAAATAGCTAATGGCCAATGCAAACGGAAGAGTCAGGGGGTTTGTGGGGCAAAGACTGTAAGACGAATGACAAATGCAGAAAGGGTAGAAAATAAAACTTAAACTGCACAGACACATTTTACTTTACATTCAGTTATTAACTGTGGTTCCAGAGTAAGCCTCTTGGATTACAAATGAGGAAATGGGTCCTAGATTCAGTGGTTTCTTCAGAATGTCCTGGGGCTGAATTAGGGATGGATTTACTCTTGTGCAAGCCCAGGTGGGAGCCAAAGCAACGGGATCCCAGTTGGTGGCTGCTATGGAAACGAAGACAGGGCGTGGCACAGCGGGCTTCCGAAGGCTCCCCAAAGGGCGCCTAAGCAGGGTGCTTGTATGGAGTAGGCCCCAGGGCAGGAGGCGGAGACCCAGGGTTCCCAAAGAGGTTTGGGGGCAAACGGAGGGATTTTTCTCTCCTTTTTTTAAAATGAAATGAAATTTTTCTCGAGTCTTTCTATTTGTTCTTTATCTATCATCCCCCCTCCCCAACACACACCGCGTTTTCCCCGGGTTTAAGGTACTAAAAGTAACAGTCACTGGGTCCAGTAGAGGTGTAAAAACGGTAAATCTACATACGCTTGCGATTCCCCTGCAATGCTGGCTCTTCTCCGCCCATACAGGAGGAAGCTCCCAAAGTTTCGAAATGCCTGCGCGTTTCCCTATTAGTTCCTGGCGTGATTCCCCGGTGCGGGAAGCTGGGGTCCCTCAGCCCCAGCATCCTGGAGAGGGTTAGGGGCCAGGGCTGGGCCCGCCCGGCTGCTCCTGCCTGGGGCCCGCGCC